GCTGCTGCAAGACTCGCAGTCGCTCGAGCTCCACAAGGCGCAGACCATCCCCAACTACATCAACATCACCGACTCCGTGGCCGATGTGGTCGGCACGCTCGAGGACCGACAGTTCGTGCTTAGCCTCAACACGGCCGGCGCCAACCGCTTCTACCTCGAGGCCACCGGGCCGCAGGTCATGCTGGCCTGGGTGCGCTGCATCCGCCTCGCGTGCTACGAGGTGACGCATCTGTGCGAGATCTACACGCAGGCGCTCATGAGCCGGCCGGCCTTCAGCAAGGGCGCGTCGACCCGCGCGGGCAAGCGCACCGAGGGATGGCTGCAGGCGCGCACGACCGGCAGCACCGAGTGGAAGAAGTACTGGACGATCATCGACGTGGCGGGGCCGGTGCCGCGCGTGGTGTTCATGGACTCGAAGCGGTCGAAGAAGCCGGTCTTCGTGCTGACGAACGTCTCGCAGGCCTACGCCATCTACCCGGAGAAGCCGCAGCTGGTCGATCTGTCGACGATCCACAAGCTCGAGGGCCTCGTCGTGCATGGCGAGGACGCCACGCCCGTGCCGGCATTCGTGCAGCTCATGGCGCCGGCACCCGCGGAAATGGCGCGCTGGCTCCGCGCAGTCCACGACGCCTTCTACCTGTACGGCTGTCCGGGCATGCCGCAGATCATACCGCTGCCCGATGAGCGCGAGCTCTACCTCGATCCGGCCGAGGTGGCCGACGTGCCGGTGGATGGCCACAGCCTGGCCGCCACCAAGCAGATATTCGACCGGATCGCCACCGAGAAGCAGCACCAGCGCCAGCACCGACCGCCGCCGCCGCCGACCAGCAATCCGGGCAGCGCGGCCACCTCGCCCTTTGCGCCGCGACCCGCCACGACAGGCCGTGGAGGCGGCGGCAGCTCGCAGTACACGAATGTGCAGCACTCGGGCATATTCGCCCCGTCGAGCCATCGCCAGGGCCACGTCCACCAGCCAGGCATGCATGGCGGCAGCAGTCCAACACCACCGCCGATGAATCCGCCGATGAATCCCGGCTACTATCCGCCAGCCGGTGCACCACAGCCGCCACCGCCCATACAGCAGCAGATGCACGTGCCATCGCCGCCTGGCTCGCGTAATGCCACCTTCAGCGAACGCGACCCGCACAATCGCCCACCGCTGTCTCATCCTCACCCTCATCCTCATCATCAGCAGCAGCATCAGCACCAGCCTAGCGCGAGCGTATCGTCCATCAACAACCATGGCGGTACGAATACGCCACCGGTGCAGCATGCCCATCCACCGGTGCAAAGCCACAGCGCATACGAGCCCGCCCATGCCAGTGCTCCTTCCATGTCCTCGCTGTCCAGCAACCATCACCGCGCCAACGACACGACAAGCAAGCCGCAGGAGCATCAGCCGCCCGCACCGAACACTGCGACGGCGCCGCCAGCGGCCTTCCTATCCCTGCCGGAGATTCCATCGATCAGCGGCGATCTCATGGGCGACACGCCGCACGACCTTGCCCCTGCAGCGACAGGCACGACAGCGACGCCCGAGGAGAAGAGCAAGACCGTCAAGCCACAGCGAAGACGCAAGCCGGCCCGACCATTGGCCAGCGATTCGGAGGAGGAGGAGGAGGACGATGACGACGATGATGACGACGAGGAAGAGGACGAGGAGGAGAAGCCTAGTCCTGCCAAGCCTACGCAGGAAGCAGCACCAGCACCAGCACCAGCCAAGCCATCTCCACCGACATCGCAGGTCACCAACCCACCGCCAACAAGTGCCAGCGAGCTATTGCCGGCCGTGGGCGGCCTGATCTCCTCCGACATCAGCCTATCCTTCCTCAGCGTCGATCCACACGCGCCTGCAGCACCACAGCCTGCTGCTGCTGCTGCTGATCCGCCAGCCGCCACGACCGCGAAAGCCGCAGAAGACGCGCCCGAAGCACCGCTTAGTGCTGCGGCTAAGCGACGCAACCGACGACTGGCCAAGACGCAGGTGCCGCTTCCATCGGACAGCGAAGAGGAGGAGGAGGAGGAGAGCGACGACGGCGAGACATACAACCAGCAACAACAGCAGCAACAATCGCAGCAGCAAAAGACCGCCACCATCAGCAACAATCCAGTCATGGGCGATATCGGCGTCAATGCCTCCACACAGTCGCTCGGCATTGGTGAGGCGGTGGAATCGCCCATACGCCCGCGCACCGGCAGTGTGCCGCTGCTCAGCGAGGGACATCGACCAAGCATGCCGTTCGAGTGGCAGTCAAACAACTCGGGTAAGTGGCGCCTTTATTCAGGCATTGTAAACAATGAGCTAACGAGCATGCGTAGAGAGCACGCTTCTGTCCCTGCAGGGTGGCCGGCCACAGTCGGCCCATATGTTCGAGTCGACGCCTGCCTATGCTACGATGCGCGGCAACGATCCGGCGATGGCCATGGCGGCGGGCGGCCCGAACGCCTTCAACCAGATGCGGCCGATGAGCCACGTCATGGGCGGCCCGTTCGATCCGGCACAGGCCGCGCCCGGCATGGAGTTCATGAGCCCGGAGGAGCGCTGGCGCTGGGAGCAGCAGCAGCAGCAGCAGATGCTCATGGCCCAGTCGGGCGGCATCATGCAGCCTCCGATGGCGCCCTTCATGGGCCACAACCGCATATCGATGTTCAGCCAGGGCAGCGGCAGCATCTACGGCGGCGGCATGGGCAGCGGGCCGGGCAGCGCGTATGGCGACGACAACCAGAGCATCATCAACGGCATGCGGCCAGGCTCGCGCGCCATGGGCTACGTCGACGAGCATATGCACCGCATGCACATGGCGCAGGAGGCGGGCTTCGACTACTCGGGGCCGCAGATGGGCGAGTTCAAGCCGCAGCAGAACTCGCTGCTGGCGGCGCACGACGCGGCGAAGCAGCACCAGAGCATCTACGGCCTGCCGGGCATGACCGGACTGCCGGGCAATGTCGGCGGCCAGCGCAGCGGTCCCCTGGTGCAGCTCAAGGAGAAGCGCAAGCAGGCGCAGACGACCGGCCTCGTGGGCGCCATTCATGCGCGCGAGCAGATGAAGGCGGCCAACAAGTACAGCAACGCCGGCTACAACCAGCCGCGCCACGATCCCGAGCGCGAGCGAGAGCGCGCCCTCGAGCGCGAGAAGGAGCGCTGGCTCGAGCATCAGCGCCAGAACTCGCTCATGCAGGAGGAGATGATGCGCCGACGCGCGTCGAACATGCCGCCCCTTGCCGGCAACATGAGCATCATGCACGGCATGCCGCCCATGGCACAGAATCCCGCGATGATGATGCGGCCGGGCACGATGATGATGGCCGACGGCGACGACGTATCGCTCATGAACTTTAGCCAGCAGCAGCAGCAGATGCTTCATCTACAGCAACAACAACAAGCAGCAATGATGAATGCTGGCGGCAATGGCTTTGGCATGATGGGCGCCCAGCTGCCCAACACGTCGAGCTCCAACATCGCCGATGGCTCACTGCTCGGCATCCCCACCACGCTCATGCACAACCACACGTCGACGCCGGGATCATCGCCTGGCCTGCTGCCCACGACCGGCCTCGAGGATTCGATCACCGCGATGTCACTCGGCAACAAACGCGAGGCCGAACAAGCCGCCCACCACACGCACCTGCGCCACACCTCGCGCGGCAACATCGACGACATCAGCAACGCCTCCGACGACGACGAAGACGAAGACGAGGACGAAGAGGACGAGGACGACGACTCGGACTCGGAGGGATCGGTCGATGCCGATCTGCGCGGCCCGCCCGCCTCGCGCAGCACAACACAGCTCCAGGTGCTGACGGAGGTGACGCCCGACCTGGTCGACCTCTTCGACCAGTTTGTCGACGAGCAGCTCGAGATGCGGCCGTATTCGTTTGTGCCGGCGGCGCAGCTCTACTCGGCCTACAAGGTCTACTGCCGCACGAAGGGCGCCACGGCGGTGGCCAACGAGGCGGTGCTCGAGGAGATGATGACCGACAACGGCTTCCTTAAGAAGCGGCGCACTGCCGTATCGGGCAAGAAGGGCCGGCGCTCCGCCTCCTCGAAAGAGACGCCGGCGAGTGGCGAAGAGGAGTGGTACAACATTGCCCTCGTGTCTTAGCCGGTGGTCTTTTCTTATGTCTAGTTGATTTTCTCCTACTTATTAGCAATGCATCTATTATAACATACACCTACAACTATCCAATGTGCTATGCAGTGTGGCTATGTGCTTTATTGATGCCATTGATTGCCATTACTAATTGTAGCAGTGTCATGCATTGTAAGAGCGCCACTGCTGCCCGTGTTCAGCTAATGCAGCACGTGTCTCTTGCCATATTGCTCGCCCAACATGTGCGCGCTTCTATCTGTCCTCGTGCATGACCGGATCAATGGTCATCGCCAGCACTATGCATCCATTTAGGAAGTGGACAATACCAAGTCGTGCGCGCGCTCCTCTGCCATAAAAGCCAGAGCGCTTTCTTTTGCTTTGTCTCTACATTCTCTCTCGTTCTAACGCCACCACTGCCACGCACTCTCTTCTGCTCTGCTTCTACCAGCCCATCGCCATCATGAAGGTCTCTGCTGCCATTGCCATTGTTGTTGTCGCCCTTGCCGCTGTTGTGGCTAGCCAGCCTTCCCGCACGGTGCAGTTTTCAACACTCCACCCTGCCACCGTACGCGATGCATGCATTAAAAGCTGCGAGGCGGATTACTTTGAGGACCGTATCATCAACGAAGATCAGTATGGACAATGCAGGAGCAAGTGCAATGAGGATTACAAGAAGGCCTTGAAGAAAAAGGAAGCCAAGGAAGCCAAGGAAGCAGTCAAGCAGAAGTAGAAGCATCCAATACGACGCTATCATGGCTCATGGCCGTCCTCTTTGACCGCATACACCATAAATAAACATACATGCACCATTATCTGACATCAGTGTGCGCCATTACAGGCAGCCGCAGTAAACGGCGCGTCTCCGCGCTCGACGGCAGGACATGCAAAAAGCTAATATGCGGCGCAAAATGCTCCTACTCGGGATCGAACCGAGGACCTTTTGCGTGTAAAGCAAACGTCATAACCGCTAGACCACAGGAACGGCTCAAAAAATTTGCATCAAACATGCACCCTAGTATCCTTTATATACTCAATTTTAAACCGCATTTATGCCTTCTCTAACGATCAAGGAGCGCTTGTACCTACTTCTGCGTACTCTCTGCGCGTATAGCTATCCATCTATGTGCGTTACAATGCGTAAAATGCATTATTTGATGCTTTTATGAATTCCTCATATCCATGTAGGGATGATATTGCTTGGATTTTTATTGGTGCGTTGGCCGAGCGGTCTAAGGCGCTGCACTCAAGTTGCAGTCTTCGTATGAAGGCGTGAGTTCGAATCTCACACGCACCATAGCTTTTACCTTTTGCCGGCCATGGGCTGGCTTCTTTTTTTGCTTGCGAGGGCCGGCAGGGCGTCCGAGTGCCTGCTATGCGCGCGGGAGCGGTGCATGTACAGGGCATGCCAGGGGAATGCTGCCAAGACAGCTGGAGTGCATGGCGGCATTCGCTGCATAGTTAGATTGTCTGCATTGCATGATGGAAATAAACGCGCCTCTTGTTTATTAGGCCGCTTGTTCGGCGCCACAACCAAGCGACAAGAGCGCCTTCCTTAGCCGAAGTATTGCCTCCTCCACCTTGTCGGCCGTCTCGTAGGAGAAGCCGGCGCGTAGATATGGCGCGCTGTCCGCCTTCTCGTCGGGCGACAGTGCCACGCTGTCGGGCAGCGCGAGGAATTGCGAGCCCGGCACCAGCAGCACGCCGTGCTTGATGCAGCGGTCAAACACGCGCTGCATGTGGCCCGGCTGGCTCTTGAGCGACGCGGGCAGGTTCAGCCGGAACCAGAAGAACATGCCGGACGATGGCAGCGTCCATTCGCATAGGCCGGTGAGTTCGCGCTCGCATATCGTCTGCAGGCTGTCGCGCTTGCTGCGGTAGTTCTCCCGCACGGACGCGAGATGCCGCTGCCAGCCGGCCTGGCCCCAGCTGTCGAGCAGGAGGTGCGCGGCAATCGCCTGCGACCAGCCCGATGGCTGCTGCGTGGTGATCTCGTTGTAGTACTGCACGAGATCCGTGATGGGCTTCGCCGCCACCAGCCAGCCCAGCCGCATGCCCGGGGCGAGGATCTTCGACAGCGACTCGAGGCGAATGACGCGGCCATCCGTGTCCATGGAGAGCAGCGACGGGAGCAGCGCCGCGTCCGACGGCCCATCGTACTGCAGATGATAGTACGGATCGTCCTCGATGATGATGAGGTCCAGCTCGCGCGCCACATCGTAGATGGCCTGGCGTCGCTCCAGCGACATGCACGCGCCGGTGGGATTCTGGCCCGTGGGCACCTAGAAGCGTGCGGTCAGTATTGCGCTTGCTGCGGGCACGGCCACTGCTCTTCTTACCAGGTAGATGACGCGCAGCGGACGTGCGCCCGTCCACGCGGCGACCGCTTGGCGCAGCGACTCGGGCACCATGCCCTGGTCGTCCATGCGCACGGGACAGGGCGACGCGGCGACTTGCTTGATCGCTTCGAGCGCGGCCGGATAGCACCACTCCTCGACGAGAAGACCGTCGCCGGGATCGCAGAAGAGCGAGACGGCCTTGGCGAAGCCGTCGGTGTTGCCGCAGGTCGCGACCACATCCCAGTTGGCGTAGCGGGGCAGGTGCAGGCGGCGCGTCTCCTCCACGAAGAACTTGCGCACCGACGCCAGGCCGCGTCCGACGCCGTACTGCAGGGCGGTATTCAGCGTGGGCGGCGCGTCAGAGACAAAGTCGCTCGGCAGGCTCGATGTCGTCGCTTGGGCGGTGGCCGCGGGCATCGGCCGCCCAGTGACATCGTGCTCCTTCGTCTCGACCGACAGCCGGGCGAACGGGAAGGTCTCGGGATGGGGCAGGCCGGCACCAAGCGAGATAAGCCCGGGCAGCTTGAGATACTTTGTCAGGCTCTTCAGCGGACTGGGCCCCAGTTGGCGCGCGCTACTCGAGTAGTAGGACGAGAAGTCCTTGGCTGTGGCTGCTTCTGCGCTGTTGACGGTCATACTGGCGAACTGGACGAGAAAGAGTGACGGGCGATACGTGTGAAGCGAGGATGGTGGCGGCGGCGGCTAGCCTTCTCTGTCCCGCTTAATTACACGGCGCTGCGGCTAGCCGCCTGCTGATCAGTAATGACGACATCAGCGCGATTGTCATCTACATCTTGATGGTCTGGTCACACGCGCGCGCTACTGCATCCAGTGTCCACTGCTGCTTTATTTCCATTGTCGATGATGTCAACATGCCCAGCCACACCAATAGCAACAATGATATTAAACACTTGTGTAATAGAAACTAAGATGCTACTGATGCTGCTGCTGCTGCTGACCATCCACGCATCGCCACACAACTCCGCCTGGTGGGACACAGTCTCACATTGCGCGCATCCATCATTGCATCTCTCCTCTTCTGCGCTTTATTCTTGTCGTAGTGTAGCAGTCTGCCTGCCTGTCCAGCTCATCGCCCCTTCTCTCTCCCTCTCCCTCTCCCTCTCACCTTCTCTCGTACAAGCCTATCTTCTTGATAAACCACAGCCACAGCATACAGCGTAGGCGTGACAATCTCGCTACTATTGCAGCAACTATGGCCGCGGCACCGACCA